CGTAACTATATTTCAGTTAAATATGCTATGATGGAGCACAAAAAAGTTTTATGGCGGTTGGAAGATTATATAGAAATAAAACAAACAGGCATTCAAGCGATGAAAAAATCGCTTACAACAAGTATCAAATGATTTTGTTTGGCATCAAAACATCGAAAAGATCGACCACTCTCCAAATCCAGAACGTTATCCGTCCGCCCCTCCAGTCTTGGTGGCGTCTAGAACATGTGTTCGGGTCAGCCATCCTCTGAGAGTTTGCTAGCTAATTACATAGCTTCCTATCTTTATATACCCTCATCATGTTATGTTATGTCTTTTTATTCTTCCATTCGATGTCTTCTCTGCTTCTATGGTGCATTAAAAGAGAATGTTTTCTGAAAAACAGAAGATAGTTTACCTAAGAATGTTAGCTCGTGCTGTGAGCAGACGATCAGTAAAGAGAAAGATGGATAACGCTGTCTTACGATTTGATATATTTAAAGTCTTATGAAGTTTTTACTATGATAAATAACAGAATATAAATCTATATCTAGGAATTAAAGAGATGCGAGGTACACGTAAAATAGGTATATATGCAATATATAAATATAACTATCAGAGGCTAAAGTTCAAAGACCATGTTCACACTTGGGGATACAAATCTGGTATCATATAATCTTATACTCGTTTCGAAGAAGTGTAACTTGTCCAGTTTTCATGGGACTATATATCATTTATGCGATATGATGCTGGTCGATAATTTCACTCGTACTGAAAGTTCGTCCATTTAACGTTATATTAACGAAATGTAAGGACTTAACGGACGAAAATTTCGTTGATTACTAATTCTTAAGTTTTTTTTTAGTGGACTGCTATTTTTTTTCTCTGTGTCTGTTTTATTTTTGCTCTGGTATTGTCTGTCCTTCGATTTACTATTTTTTTCATCGCAAGCAACCTCAATTTCTTCTTGTAATGTAACGTTCAATGTTTTAGTAGTTGTACCTTGGAGAAAGCACGCTGGTGATAGCATACCAATGATCCTCAAAAGTATATGTTTACCTTTTATATTCGTGTAAGCTATAGTTGCTTTAGTCCTATTAAAAAGCGAATCTATATAGAATACTTAATAAAGAGGTATGGTATGATATTGTTTTGTTCTGTTATTAAGTTTTAAGTATACGCTTGATGCAGACAGCTTGAAAAGTCGATGGGAGTTTACAACAATGGTGTACAAGGTATTAACAAACGTTCGAATAATCAAGGAGGATATAACCTCGTTGGAATAATGATATAGACTGTACTATGAATTGCATAGCACATATTTTTTAAAAACTTGACATGCAATTTTTATTATGTATTTAATTTACTGCTTTTAATACCAATTAAAAGATGTTCAATCTTAGCACTAGTGACCATAACAAATTTCAGAGTAATTTTGGAGATGTGCTTTTATTAATTAAACAATAAGTCATACGTTTTAATGTACGAAAAAACGGTCACCTATGTGTATAAGTTGTCTCATTGGCAATCATAACGCATCACTTCAATTGTATATGATCATGATTGTTTGGTTTCTGTTATTTAATTTTAAGCAAACGCTGGATGTAGACAGCTTGACAAGTCGATGGGAGTGCTAGTATATAACAATGGTTTACATGGTATCAACAAACGTTGGAATAATGACATAGACGTGTCTTTACATTGCATAGGACCCATTTTTCTTGACATGAAACTTTGATTACATATCTAAATTTTCTGCTTTTATTACCAATTAAAAAATGTTCAATATTATCACTGGTGACCATAAAAAATTTCAGAGATGGGTTTTTATTAGTAAAATAATAATTCATATGTTTAAATGTACTAAAAGACGGTCACCTATGACGAATTATGTCTCATTGGCAATCCGTCCACATCTCCTCATTCTTATATGATATGGTTTGGTTTTGTTATTCAGTTAACAAACGTTTGAATAATGATAAAGACTGGTATTTATATTGCATAGGACCAATTTTTCTTGACATGAAATTTTGATTACCTATTTAAATTTACTGCTTTTAAATCGAATTAAAAGTGTTCAATATTATCACTAATGACCATAAAAAATTTCAGAGTAATTTTGGAGATGTGCTTTTATTAATTAAAATATAATTCATACGTTTTAATGCACGAAAAACGGTCACCTATGATGAATTAGTTGTCTCGTTGGCAATCATAACGCATCACCTCATTTTTATACGATATTGTTTGGTTCTTTTATTTAGTTTTGAGCAAACGATTGATGTAGACAGCTTGAAAATTCGATGAGAGTATTTAACAATGGTTAACAATGTACCAACAAATGTTTGAATAATGGTATAGACTGGTCTTTATATTGCATAGGACCCATTGCTAACAATGTACCAACAAATGTTTGAATAATGGTATAGACTGGTTTTTTATTGCATAGGACCCACTGTTAGCAATGTACCAACAAATGTTTGAATAATGGTATAGACTGGTCTTAATATTGCATAAGACCCATTGTTAACAATGTACCAACAAATGTTTGAATAATGGTATAGACTGGTCTTTATATTGCATAGGACCCATTGTTAACAATTTACCAACAAATGTTTGAATAATGGTATAGACTGGTCTTTATATTGCATAGGACCCATTGTTAACAATGTACCAACAAATGTTTGAATAATGGTATAGACTGGTCTTTTAATGCATAGGACCCAATGTTAGCAATGTACCAACAAATGTTTGAATAATGGTATAGACTGGTCTTAATATTGCATAAGACCCATTGTTAACAATGTACCAACAAATGTTTGAATAATGGTGTAGACTGGTCTTTATATTGCATAGGACCCATTGTTAACAATTTACCAACAAATGTTTGAATAATGGTGTAGACTGGTCTTTATATTGCATAGGACCCATTTTTCTTCACATGAAATTTTGTTTACATATCTTAATTTACTACTTTTAATACCAATGAAAAGATGTCCAATATTATTATCACTAGTGACCATAAAAAGTTTAAGAGATGGGTCTTTATTAATCAAACAATAATTCATACGTTTAAATGTACGAAAAAAATCGTCTATACCTATGACGAATTATTGTGTTTGGCGTGAAAATTTCTACTGATAGTATACATTATTTGGAAATGTACTTTATTATGTTTTTAAAAACGGTGTGTTTTGGGGCAAAATATACAATTCATTGGATACTCAAATTAACCAATTTACTGCGAAACTCAAACAAATGAAGCACTGTTCAAATTAGATACTGCTTCGGTTTTGAAATGTATGTATATTATATTAATATTTATTTTGTATGTTCTATCTCAATTCATTCATTCAGTCACATGGTAAACTGTATTTTCAAAGGTAGACTGAAAATGGCAGATAGAAAAGTGATTTTGCACAGTTATTTTTAAAATATCTATAAGTTGAAATCTAAAAACCTCAATCCTTTGAAACACAATCATAACAACCAATCAAATGAAGTTCGGTGTATTGAAAATAATAATATATCAATTATTGCCATTATATGAGGTCGATACAAGAATATATCGACCTAAAGTATATCGACCTCAGACTTCGTCCTCAGTCAATATACTTCTTTCAAGTCGATATATCCTCGTATTGACCTCATACAAAGGCTATAATTGTATAATACTGCTGTATCATGATCCATGCCGCTTAAAAGTAAAAAAAATGTACTTTGTGATTTGAATGAACAACGGTCGCTGAAAGTGGCGTTTACACCAAAAAAGTAAGCAAATAAACAAATCGGTTAATGGTTTTTTAAGGATTTCAAAAAAAAAAATACACTAATAAACGAATTTCAATGTTTCTATAACATGCAATCAATTCAAAAACGTGGATTCTTGTCGCGTACGCAATAATCCGGTTCGCCAAACCATCCCCGAAGAGGAAAAACTATTCTTTTACCTGATCGGTTATGCCATAACTTGTTTTATTTGATTTGACATGCGTTTGATGTAGGTTGGATAAACTTTGTTTTTTGCTATTTTTAATTTATTGCAAAAGAGATTTGATTTCTATAAAAGTTTCTTCTATGAAGATTTGAAGAAACAAACGCTTTTCTCCTTTTTCTTATTAAGAAAACGGAGACAGCGAGTGCTTTTATATGTAATATGTACCAGGGTTTTTCGTCTGATTGAAAGTAGAACAATCCTCATTGAATCTAAATTTTGAATTATTTCCCTACTAGTGGCTGATTGTATTATGTTGACATTCAAACTTATCCTTAATCATATTTTTTTTTTATTTTTATGTTCATTTTTCTAATTTGCTATTTAAAGCAAGGCTATGATATTTGTTAAAAAATTTCAACGTGACAGACTTTTTTAACATTTTAATTCTGAAATTAGTCTACAGCTAAAAAAAAAACAATCATAGTTCAAACACAGACATTTAAAACTGTTTTTTTTTCTCTCTCAATGTTTATGTGTTTTTAAATTTTGTATAAGCAAACTAAAATGATATAAGAATAAAGGGAAACTCAAATGAAAACAGACACCATAAAACATACAATGACTAATATATATCTATATAGATGTAATTAATGCAATGTTATCTATTCAATTTTGAATAATAATATTTTAAAATTTTAGGTTAATCCTTATCATACAACAATACAAGACAATTTTTTTTTTAAAAGTCACATTTTTAAAATTATAAATTCTAAATTCATGGTAAGAGAACATTGTTCTGTTATATTTCAAATACAAAAATAATGGTTAAAAGTTGATATTTATTAACGAAATAAAATAATATTTTCGTCAAGTTTATTATATAAGCAAAACATAAATATACAGATTCAGAAAGATAAGATAAAACAACTTTTCTCAAATCCCATGTACAGTTTCTATTTGTTCAGCATCACTTACTGGGGCGGAGATTCTGAGATAAGACCCCTCCTGTTGTAAGCCTATTATCCAATGGCGGCCGTATATAAAATAGAGCTATTATTTACAGTATTCCCTGCTGATTAAGAGACACTGCTGGCAGTACTGAAGGTATCATTTTTCAAAGGCTTGACTATCCTCGTGGTTCTGTTCTGACTACAGAGAAAATAAAAGTTATCCGTACTGTCAATAAGTCTCCGGAGTTCATCAATTTCCTATGAGAAGATACTTAAATACCGATTAATGTGAGAGATAAGGAAACAGACCACGTTTTTTGTTACTGGTCACCCTGATCGAGGAGATTCTTTATTAGGAAGAAAGACAAGGGAAACCATTTTCACGGGATTTCTCACAAATGAGAGATGAGTAGTTATACTCTGACACCGGAACAACAGTTTAATAGTAATTTTGACAAAGTTTCTGCTTACCATCAAGCTTTTCAAAACAACAAGGCTAACTTTTCTGTGAGCCATTTGTTGGACTTGGAGGATCTTCCGAACGAAAATTGTGCTATGTATGCTAACACTGATCCTCAACCAGGACTGCCTACTCAAGCTTGCACACCGAATATTAATGGAAATGGACTAACAGACCTCGATGAGAAGTCCTCGATACGCCATGACAGCCACGACAGTATATCACCACACAGCCCAGGAAAAAATTCAAGTAAGTTTATGATTCGACTATATATAAATTCAAGTAACTTTTTGGTTCGATATAAATTTAAGTAAGTTTTTGGTGCGATATAAAGTTGACACAGTATTATTTTTACACTAACAAATCCATTTATGACATGGTGCAGAGAAGCCTATGTTGTTATGCTCTTAGTAAGAAAAACAAATGGTACTTAGTGGCTTAAATATGCGTTTAAAAGCAAAATAGTAAAAACAATCTAAAATGAAGACAATACATTAAAAATAGATACAAAAAGTAAAGCATTCCATTTTAAGTGTAAATGCAACTGTTTATAATCAGACGAATTTGCAATGTAAAGTATATCTCAAAATGAAAACAATAAAAAAAAACATATTTTATTTTTTTGGGCAAATATTATGCTGTTCCTTGCTAAAATATGAAAAGTATTCAATAAATACTTAGATTATTTTTTCTTTTGTCGTAAATGAGTAAACTATATGATTTTGTACAGATAAAATAATTCTGTAAGAGAGTAAGCAATTTTATAGATATAAGATCGGAACCTGCTGATTTTCTCCACATGATATTAATGATATCAGATGATCGTCCATAACACAGGCAATTTGAAGCAGTGGGGATTATTTAACTCTCCTGAGAAATGTCTGATTTTTATCGAAGAAAATATTTCAAGCAAAATTTACAGCGTAATGTAATATTTAACAAACAAGAAACTGGGTTTTTGTTACAAAATTAAACAAATCATTTTATTCATTAATTAATTAATTTAATTTAATTTTCACATCAAAAACACTAATAAAGTACCGGTACTTTAAACGATAATACTGGGGAAAATCCTTTTTATACATATAAACGCTTCCGTTTGAAATAAAAGCTAGTATTTTAAATTGAAAAAAAGTTAAAAGAGTTTTTTCAATAGTTTTTCATCAATGCAACAGCAACAAACGGCATATGTTTGAAAAGCCGTGGAAACTTGTAATGTAATAAAGGCATTATTTATCGATAAAATACAATAAAAGTCAAACATTTCCCTAGTTTTCAAGTTGAATTCTAATAAAAGATGAATGAAAACTACACGATAGTAAAGCGATCTGTTATTGCATTTGAAGTTCAACAGCTCATAAAATAAATAAAACAAACACTTCAGTGGTATAAACACAATTTACAATAAACTCAAGAACACGTTTGTGTAAAATGTACCACACAGTAGCAAAACGCTCTGGGCAATGGATCATTAAAACCGCAAGAATAGCAAGCGGCATTGTTTATAATAATCTATCATCATATTGATTCGTTAAAAATTAAATTAAAGCGCTTATTGTGAACAATTTGCAAAATCAGGACTGGCTGACCAGACACATTTTGAAATTAAAAGTCATGAGATTTTCACAATCAGAGAAATTGTAAACAGCTTTATTTCTTGAAGCAGAAAATGTTCAATTGGTTTATTTGTTAACGTAAATCATGTGCTCTCAAACTGGAATAATATCACTCAAAATTAAGCATAATTTTTTATGCTATCCCTAATTTCAGGGATTAAACATGTACATGTTGTATCTCAAATACAATGTATTCTTAAACCCACTTAAAGTCATGTTCATTCATTAAATGAGTTCTTTCTTAGCAATTAGATTTTCCTCAGTTTATAGCTTACTTGAACATTTGAAACAAATTTTAGACGAGAAAAGCAAATTTCAAATCACACTACATTTGAACAATAAAGCTATTGAATACTGATTGCAAATTGTGTTCTTTCAAGGATTATGCCACATCCGGGTTATTCTTCCATGTGTTTTCCCTATTTTTCCTAGTAAAGTCATTATTGAACTAGAAATTTTGTTTCAGGTGTATATCATTAATATATCCTTTCCCGTTTTTGATTGCACCAACATTAGGTAATTTTGTTATTCAGCCAATATCTCAATTTGAAATTATATCAGCATAAACCGGATCGACGAAATGCACAAACAGTGCAAGTTCATCACTGGAGTTTTATAAATTTACCCCAAATCAAGTGAATTAATAACGGTCTTAAAGACACATGTCAGCAACCGTATATACTTTGTGGGATAGTAATATCATATAGGAGGGCCTGGGTGTCGTTTACAGAATAGAGAAAACACCAATGCAATGAACTACAGAAAAAGGGACAAAAAAATAAAGAATAGACAAAAATAACGCTCAAACCTAAATATTTGAAAGCTAGGAATGAATAGATACATAGAAAATGACCTAAGGAAACCTAAAACGAATAGACAAGCTCATATAAGGTCAACGTCCCCTGAGCGAAAAATAATAATCATAATAATAAATGTATACAAACATGTTAGCACCATCCTTTCAGACTACCAATGTGCATTTGTGAATAAAGATGAACTATCCTTTTGTGTACTAATGTCTTCTCATCATGAAAAATATTAACACATTTATTTTTTTGAAAATATGGATACATATAAGTCATGCTTTCAATTTTCATGATGGTCTTGTGATCAATATATACTTTGCTTATATAGAATTCAAACTGTAAACCTATAAGGAAGGACAACTCCCTAGACATCATCTTAGTTTAATACTTGTACTTGTACTTTTGAAGAAGAACAACAAGCTGATTTAAGTCACCTTTCATGCTCTCTTACGTACTTTTATTTATTATGTCTGCACACTTTATAGAAAATCATGATACAAACAAGTAACGGGCCTATCCCGACTACCGACCTTTTTGTCATATAACCCCCCACGTATTCTACATCCTTGGCTATTGTTTTTGTTTTGGTTTGAAAGTTCTTAATGAAGGGAAATCCAGAAAAGCGATTCGGACGCAACTCATTACACAGTGTTATTTTCTTTGTGAAATAATCTAACCCGGACAGAGACCAGATGACCTCAATCGGAAGTATGTGTCAACGAAGGCAGTTTCCAAAACAATATATATATTAACTTCCAAAATATCCATGTGAAGATATTGCAAATATTTGACATTTCCGGTGGATTGAATATTGCAAATACGAAAGAGATTGATTGCTGCAAACCTCACTTAAACTGGTTCCTCATCTGTCGTCAGATTTTAATTAAACTGTCAGGTAACGAACTTCCTCCATTTGTCATAGCAAAAGGCCAAACCATGCCTTCCATATGATACTAAGTACTTTCTTCACTGACATTGTGTTGTACTTGCACCGTATAGACTCTTATCGCTTTTCAAACAACAAATACTTAAGGTTAATTAAAATTTCAAGGACTTCCATGTAAATAATTTTATCATATCCCTTTTGTATTTGATATTTCAAAGAATACCAAATGCTTAACATGTCAACCTAATCAGAACAAAGGGCATGTCGTTATTTTTACTGCATAAATTAACTTTCATTTTATTATATCATTTCTGTTTTAAAACTGGTACATCAGTTTTATCTGAAACAAAATAAAAGTGTACACACATGAAGATATAGTTTGTATTTTATCTAAAATTGTCTAAAAGACGAAATATTTTTGTCGCCATTTTTTCAGTTTTGCCGGCACAATTATACCCCTCTTGTAATTCTTTGATAATGGCCTATACCTATGTAGGAGGCAACTTGACTCTTGACCTACAAAAGAAAAGTAATAATAAAACCAACATTAAATATATGTTATCTTCTAACAGAAATTTTAGAGCTGCATGTTATGATTCTCGAGAGATAATTAAAATTCATGTATTCCTTCACGGAGCAAAACTTGAGAATTTGACGTTGAAAATCTTATTCATGTATTTTTTGTTATTTAACCTCTTCCATAAAAAGTAATGTCTGGATTCAGGTACATCAAAGATAATTGATACGATTTTTATTCGTGGAAATCATATAGTGTGCTTGGTCAGCATTTGACATAACATGGAAATTTCGTTAATCCCTTGTGGAATGGTGCGTTCGGTAATCCGACTGTAGGAGTAATTAACGATCTCATATTTCGGTTGACGTGTGTTGTTGATATAACAGCTGTACCCCTGTGATTATTAGATCTGATGAAATAATTATTACATGTGCCAATAATGAACCGAACCATTAAAATAACATTATCATTCTTATGATTGTCGACTGAATTTTTTGTATATTTTCTTATTTACTATAGAAATGTGATCTTCAATAATCGAATGCGTGTAAATTTTAAAGAAATTTGGTGTTTTTCTATTCATAGTAAACACTCTATAAAAAATCTTTTGAATAGTGAAAAAAAAACAGCACTACCAACAACGAACTTCAAAAGAAAACACACACATTTATGAAAAATATATAAAAAAACAACCTTGAGACCTTTTTGAAAAACGGTAGTCATAACAGGTCCTTTTTATTCGGATAATCAAATGTAAAAAATAGAGTTAAAAAAATAATACGATATCCATTATGGCGTCGACAAATTTGCAGTCTGCACTACATCTATCATGCTCGCCTTAACCTTTACGATAACACCAAACAATAATACAATGTTTGATACATGAAGTGTTAATTGAACAATTGTTTTAAAGTGTTGATAAATATTGTCATCATGATAATGATATATTTACACAAAGTTTTCTGTCTGTGTAATGTGAGACATCGTCAACATCTGGTCGTCTGCAAGTTTAAAATTCCTTTAGACGTTGTCTTCTTGGATTTATACTTGCTTTATGTTCTGTTTTCTATATAAAGGACGCTGTAATCTTCAAAATTTCAATGCAATGAAGAACAAAATACTTTTATGAACCAATTAAAGACCCACTGAGCATGACAGTATACAAATAAGTGTATGTGTGTGTGTATGTGTGTGTGTGTGTTTGTTTGTTTGAGAGAGATCACCAAAAACCTTTAACCTCTAATAAGTTAGTACAATGCCGGTATTTTTATGTCGTCTTTTCACATTGTATCGTATCTTGTTGTCTATTTTTACAAGTAACTATAATATCTATTAATTTCTTTTATTAATTTCGGCTTTTTGTTTAACTAGACAATGTATGCCTGCGTTACATCACCGCAATGACAATATGTTTTTAAAAAATGTGAATATGCCTAACGGTATATTGAACTGAATAATTTAATTCGTTTCTCTGTTTGATATGTCTGTATAATCATTACTGTTATTTTTCATTGCCCTTATAAGAGATTATGATTAGTATATTTGAATGATTTAGGATGAGATCTAAGCTGCATTGTAAGTTTTTGAGCATGACTCTTACAATTACTAGCATATATAAGTACTCTTGTTTTCATCAATAAGTCAGCAACAGAACAAAAAAAAACCCTAGAAAATGTGGTAAATCGTGTGTGGCGCTCATAATTTTGGCAGACTCATACTAAATTGGACCTGTATATGATTATTATCGCAAAATATTAAGCAGCGTTGAAACATATATTGCCGTCTTTGTTGAGAAATGATAGATTTTTAAACGTTGTAAACTCGTGCAGATAATAACAGCTAAAAGTCATAAATAACGAAACAAATCTATGTTAGTTTTCTAACAAGCTCCGTTATTTATGTTAATACCCAAAACAATCACGTTCACGTCAAATAAGTTGAAATACGGCATTTTTCACGAGCTATCTCGCAAGTTAATTTTGTCTTATGTTCTGATATTTGTGGCCAGTGCTGATAAGACTTTCCTAATTATTACCTCGTTTGTGTATTGTTTATTTAAAGTGTGCACCTTTAAGGGCCAATAAAAGATAAAACACAGATTTGTTTTATAATCATTGGTGTAATTTATTGGATCTCGAGTTTCATTTGTATCAGTTTTACTGTACTGAGATTGATGTTTAACTTTAAAAATAAGAAGATGTGGTATGATTGCCAATGAGACAACGGGCATAGAAATTAACTACTATAGGTCACCGTACGGCCTTCAACAATGAGCAAAACCCATACCTCATAGTCAGCTATAAAAAGCCCCGAAATGTCAATTGTAAAACATACACCTGTCCATTCTTGAAATCTAAGATTATGTAAAATGAAAAGTAATTAAAAAATGGTATATTGAAAATACGAAAAATCATATGAGAATATTCCAGAAAAATAGCCTTTGGTGGGCAAAGCGCTTTTTTGTTTTGCTTTATTTGTTTTACAGTACATTTTTTGTTTTAATTGAATATCACCCTTTCACAACAGAGTAATATATGAATACACGTTAGGTTCTTTTTAAGCACAATTTCGTTTTCTATGGTATTAACGTGTAGGTATACATCTTTGAAAAGACACATTTTTATTTTCCAAAAAGATTAAAACACACGTGCATCTTAATCCGTCAGTTATAAACAGACACACTAACCCGGAAATAGAAGCTTGAAGGTCGATGTAGCTTGAAAAGTCTTGTAACATGTGCCCGTCTTAACGGCACCAAGTCGATCTTCTTTTCATGTATCTTCGTCAGCTTCAGAAGGATATAAATTTTTCTGTAGAAACTTGAGATTTTCAAGATCGGAATGTTTTTAGTTTTTATTTGACGTAGCGAAAGAGCTTACGAGAGTTTGATCTCTTTATGATGTACATTTAAATATACTGTGGTTGTAGAGATTTATTCGAACTTAAGAGAGAGAAAAGAAATACCATGAGAAATTAAAATATATTTCTGAAAACGTGGAAAAGAAAACCTTTAATAACTGATTATCATTATAAAATGCAAATAAGTAAAAGCATACATGTATTTAATTCATTTGGTAATTTTTCGAAGATCAGTTTGTTGATTCTTTGTATACGTAACTTTTATTCGAATTAATATATGTCACCATGCAAAGACTCAGTGTGAATGAAATGATGAATATCAATAAAAGCACCACACTATTCAGTTGCAAGGTTTTTGTCCAGTGCACTTAGGGATTTTGTGTCAGTCATACATCATACAATATCCCTTCTTTTTCCTTGATAAACTGAAAGTGAAAAAAGTAAAGTAGCATTAGTATTTATAAAAAAATTGTATCGAACATTAAAAAATGCAGTTTATCGCGTTAAGATTTTACAATTATTGATTTTTAAACAGACACACAAAATTAATGACTTTATCTAATTAGCCAACTTTAAATAACCATATGTGTTTATGCATTGTCATATCTTTATGTACTGTCTTTGAAATAGTGCAATACAAAGCATGTCATTATTACGAGATAAACAATATTAAATTGTATTTCTTTCTTTTTTGTGGTTTGTTGCATTGTCATCAACTTGTGAATGCCACTCGAAAATACTTTAAGAGATAAGGGTAATATTCTTTGTTATGTTTTACGATCGGAATTATGTACAGAAATTCGTTTGTCAAAAACAAACAGACAAAATTAATATACTGGAAGTATGTTACTGTTCCACAAAACAAAAGTGGTAAGAATGTGGTATGCGTCGACAATACAATTTTGTATCTGATTTTGTATAGTCTAACATTCATACTGATGTTCTGTGAATCGATTATGATCGGTAATCGGTGCATGAATTAGGGTATTTCACCTGATAATCGATATGAAGAAATATCATAATTAATCATAATCGATTCTTGAAGTTTAAAGGTCACTAAAAAAATTGTAGAATGAATGCAAATTGATTACACTTTAGAACCAGCAATTATAATATTTGTAAATGCATATCCAGTACACATCAGAACTGAAAGATTCGTACACTGAAAATGTCATTCATGCATTTTGGGCTACCAATGATTTAATTGATAATAACATGAGTTGAAAAATAACATCCATAGGGGTCAATCAATTAAATTCAGTGAACAATGCATGTATTTTTACTATTATGCGAAACAAACTTATTTCACTTTTGACAGACGAGACATCATTTTCGCGAAACTAAGAATACAACCAACATATTAATTTATGTTATTCATGTTCAAATTTTCCAATTACCGTTTGCAAATTTAAAAAAAAGGTTATTAATTTAAAAGGAAAGAAAACAAACTTTCTCCGAAATGTAAGATAAGATAGTTTTTAAAGAGGATACCAAGTTAGCAATCTGGGCGAACTTATATTAAGGAATATACACGTGTCAATGTAAAAATGTATGGCTCGGTACATTGTACAAAAATAGGACTACGGATTATCTTTTAACACAATGATTATGATTATGTTCTCTTTCTTGCATACAGATGGAGACGCCAACCTTGCAATGGATGGTGAAAGACGTTCGAGTTATTTAGAGCCAAATAATAGCTCTTAAAATATTATATAACGCATCTTTTTATTCACAATTGTGATTGAGGAATTGGAACTATCGTATAGCCTTTTTCTCTGTAGTTAAAACAATCTTTTGATTTTACTTTTTTTGTGTAGTTGGAGATGTGAACCTCATATCTCGGTTTATTCATATCTATTTGTTTGATATAATAAAAAATATTTTTTGTTTAGAAATTCCAAAAGTTGTAAAAAATAAAATCTTCAAAACGAATGCAATAATAGTTTCAAAGCAATTACATTTCAACTTCATGTGTGTTGAGTAATATCAAAACAGGTTTATAACGGTGTATCGCTCTTTGTAATCCATAACACGTATAAAAGTTTTTTTTTATTTTGGTAGTTTTTGCTTAATTAAAGTTAACACCACATGTTAAAGAAACAAAATTACATACATTTTACTACCCTCATTACAACTTCTATTTCCTATATAATAACAGCGGGAAATAGTTTGGCAGATCCCCTGTTGTCCCGCAGAACAAAGATGGCTGTGGATTCCAATGACGTCTGCCGTATATTAAAGGTTTGCTAAATTAGTTCGAAAAGGTTACTCCGTCACTATATTTTTCACTACAAGGAAGACCCAAACGAACACACTGTGGCATACAAAGAAGTCGCAAATTATTGTTGTAAATTATGAGAACTTTTGATTTTTCGTGAACTGCTACACGAGTGCAACTTTGCCTTTGCTGTAAATTGTAAGAACTTTTTCATTTATCGTGGACTGACATACTAATTTAGTAGATATAAGAAGATGTGGTATGAGTGCCAATGAGACAACTCTCCATTTAGCTTTACTTTTATCATTAGGGGGCAAAATAATTAAATGATCAGTTCGAATTTATCTTTTGAATTCATATTTCAGCAAATGAACATTCGCCGTTTAAAAATCTAAAGGATTATGGGTAATTTTATTTTTCGTACACCAAAATTAGAATAACGTACGTAAATTGTCGAATACAACGTTACGTCATTGGTCGAATACAAATTGTTTGGACTTTTGTTAATATTTACCATTAGCTGTACACTTTAGAAACTATTACCTAGAATGCATTAGTTTTCTGAAACTGTAAATTGCATATCAACTCAATAACTAATACTTGTAGATTTACATGACATAAGGATAGGTATTTGGCATAGAAACTATACTAAATACATTCGCGTTGATGAGTTGTTTGGTCAGTAGAAAACATTATGTCAATGTTTATGTGAGAGGAACATAGTCTGATTGCCAGATGTAGTTTACTAGATGCCAACATGGCCCTCTGGGTTATTGAAAATAAATGGTTCACATACGTCTCTTCTGTGCGGAGGGCATTACTTTAGGGGGTACCCAACACTTTGAATAAAATAGATTTGGCTCGTTTAATTTTCATATAATTTAGACAAACTATTTATTTTGACCTGTTGACAAAAAACATGAAAATTTCAAGAAGTTTGAACCACACAATTTACAGGAATAATTTCATTGGATATATAGCAGTTTGCCAAACACTAATCTTAATTACTAAGAAGCTTGATTTCTCTTTACAAATAGTAGGTGATTAAAACGTTCAGCTGATTTTTAAAGAGTTAACACCCTTAGGTGTTCTGTACTTTGAAATTTTCTGTCGATTATTTTTTGTGATTTACCGATGGCCTTTTGTGCTAAAACATTTCCTTTTTCTAAAAATTTTAGATTCATGCAAGAAACTATATATTCGTATATTCAGTATAACTTATATAATATTCTTGAAGAATTAACTTTATGTAATCAATTTTTATCCTAGAGATTCTGAGCATGGGATCGTGTTTTGATAAAATGATCCTACAGAGACTATTAAAAATGAATTTATTGATATACTTTCAATGTTAAGACTTCTTAAGACAAGTGAAATTGTTAAGTTTCCAAAAAGAATAGCTGCGTGTACAAAAAGTTCTAGTTTTTCATAAAAGCCGAGTTAAAAATAATGTTTATATTATCGTAGATTTTTAAAATAATCAAATTTGAATCATCAAAAAAAAAATTAATAGTAGCAGTATCTATTTTCCATGCTCAAAGATTGTTATCATTAAAAGAACTTTTAACCAAAGACTTCGCTATCTACGGGAGAGACGTTAGGTCTCGTTTATGTAAAACAAGCAGAAGACAATGTGATAGGCCTGAGAAAATTGTCAAGAAAAGCACGTAAAATTTTTGACGTTTTAGATTAGAAATCCATATTTTTCACGATTTCAATCAGAGTTAAGCTCATAAACGTTTAAAGACAACATCTTTATAGATCGCTATCTTGACAGTTACAACAGTGTATTAGATGTTCTAAGTATTGTTACAGATACATAAGCTGGTTGGAAACCTACAAGATGGCCACATGTGGGAGAGAAAAAATAATTTCTAAACATGTGTCGAAAAATGATTTTATGAATTGCTTGTTCATTTCGTATTTATTTACTCTTGTAGATATACGTAACGAATTCTTTAATAATATATGTTTACACTAAAATGATTTCATATTGTTTTCCAGTTTTGTCGCCAAATATTTAGACTTGTATAACCTTGGTAATTAAACTTATCTGTTATTGTATATTCTTCTGTGTTGAAACTAGATTGTGGTTTGTTGTTATATGGTACTATGCTTTGACAAAGGCCTTCGTGGCTGTTTACTAGTGAGGCTGCTTATTTTCTGATCATGCAAGAGCAAAGATAAATCAACTCGGCCATAATGATATGTCCGGCGTAGGGTTACTTTTCTTTGTGCAGACTGATATACTATATGAGCTAGCACGCTAAATTCTATCATAACGTTTCGGTTTTCTACAGTGCGCTCGTAAAATTTATGTTATTGTCCCATATTTGTACGTGATATTAAAGAATGGATGTTTGTATCCATTTGTTTTGATTTCTTCCCTTTTGTAGAATTTTATATCATCGGCTCAATGGCGTCCCCAAAATTGGACAATAAAACATGGTTTGATTTAATACCGGTTAACATTTTAACAAAATCTCAAAACTCTTGCATGAATTTGTTACAATGAATGGCATTGCAGGTTAAGTTTTATTTTTAGAATATGCTACCATAATATATTTTCCTAGTTTCAGAAGAGTTTTTTTTTAAATGTACAGTTGTTGCGTCCTATTATTACACAATAGATGTGGCATAACTCTAAACGAGACAGTAACCAAATAAAACATGTCACACATTGTTTTTAATTGTATGTTTTTTCTGTTTCGCCTGCTTATTCCATATTCTCATAAAAAATCGCATTCAATAACTCATTTATATATTTTTTGTAATTCTGCATTTTCTTTAAAAAGATCATAATTCAATCTAGCCTATACATTCAAGAATGAGACATCCCACATGCAAGTAATAAAAAGTCCAAACATATCTAAAAAATAAAAAAAGTAAATCCCTTAATAGAATTCTTTTGTTATCTCGTGGTCGTCTGCTCGCCTCGAATGCTTTAGATCGTGTTCTCAATCCCGTATTTTGGTGCCAAAGCCTTTTAAATTTGTTAACACGAGGCATTTAGGGGTAAGATCAAAGAAGTACGAGATCGGAGTAAACACCATATATTGTAAAGGATAAACTTCTTCTTTTGTGCTGTGGTTGAACCATGTGGAAATGCACGATGTACAAGTGTTGCACACATGAATATTATGAAACAATCTACAATTTCATAGTTAATAAAAACCGATTCTAATCTAAAAGAGAGTGGAATTG